GATTGAGCCGTTGTCTGCAATTGATTTCAACTGAGCCTTCATACAATACATCAGCCCCGTTAAATTCACACCCGTCACAAATTCCCACTCCTCGAAATCCTGATCTTGAAGCATCTGCAAGCCAATCGACTTAGGGATAACACCGGCTAGGTTTGCGGCGCCGTCTAGTTTTCCGAAATGGTGAACGGCATCTGTAATCCATTTTTGGACCTGCTCGTATTTCCTCACATCTACAACAGAAGCGAGTACCTCAGAGGAAGGATATTTGGATTGAATATCCTCGCGAGCTTTGTCCAAGGCGGCTTGCTGGACGTCTGCTAGTGAGAGTTTCGCTCCGCGGCTAGCAAGAAGATGCGCCGTGCACAACCCAATGCCCGAAGCGGCACCGGTAATGGCGATAACTTTATCGGCAAACGGCTGTGTAGAGCCCATGGTTCGTTAGCAACACTGGCACCCAGCGTCAGCAAAGGAGAGATTGGGGTCGTAGGTTTGTAGGGTATCTGGAAGTGCACGGAACCAGTCTTAATATTCTTTCTATCCTAAGGATTACGGTAATGCATAGCCGATTACTAGTGCCGAATGCCGAAGCGCCCCTCTTGACGTGTGTGAATCTATATCCGGCCTTTATTGAGAAATTTCTGCGGAATAGGTACATACTTTGCACGAAGGTATTCGCACAGATTTTTAGCCAAAGTGTCGAGCTTCGATCCTGAGTTATAGCCTCTGTCCAAATGATTCTTCAGCAGGAAATGAACAGCTCGAATATTAGCCATCTCGAATCTATCGATTCGTCCTCCAGCATATTCTTTTGGTCCCAGGAGTTCCTTGATCTTCTCGATTGTCAAGAATGACTGGAGCCATTTCCACTCCTCTTCTCCAGCAACGAAGAACCCCACGTTCGCATCAGACGCCTTGTCGCCTGAACGGCCTAGAGCCACATAACCAAGTGGGGCGTCAACGGTTTCACCGAATTCCTGAAGGTCAATCGGATTGCGAGTGTTATATGACTCTTGTGGTCCATATATCTGTGTGACCGGCGGAGGCGGAATATCGACAACACTTCGGTCCCCAAACAAAACATGTACACGATGTTTACATGCTGTTTGAGGTATTAAAGTCACAAAATACTCATAATAACTTTTTGCCGTAGACTGTCGCAGATCATTTGGCCGTGACACTCCCTATCTGATATTAGCTGCTTCCAAAGCTACAATCGAAGCGGTTTCATACTGGACATGACTGTAGAACAGTCTCGTACAACTTTCTACTGAAGCCATCTGGGAGGCTAGGGTCAAACAGGCTGCTGTCGCGTGCTTGCGCGAAGATGCGAAAATCCACCGTTGCGATCTCTTGATCATCGGGGTTAGGTGGAGAGGTACCGTGAACATGAAACTTTAGCATGGAGAATTCGTTGATCAGGTCTTCTCCGATTGCGTATCGTGCCTGTTCTTCCATCCACTGGCATTTCTCCCTGATATCTAATCCGACAAGATAAAAATGCCATTCTGCCTGAAAGCCACCGTGAGCTGTCACCCCACAACGTGTTGTGGAAGGAGGAGGCAAACCCTTCACGCCGCTCACATGGACAATGTTGTCGCGAGTTTGATCAAGCTTAATGTGATGTAAGTCTGCCACTACATCCGAATTGAAATACAGCGGTCCAGATATTTCGTAGACAAGTTGGGAAGTGACAGTCTCCACGTTTACTATGCCGTTCGTGTTCTTCTCTTTCAAAATGTCGCATTCGCCATTGTGGTAAACGGAAGCAATCGGGAAACCGAGGTTTAGATGCTTCTTTGACTTCATTAACTCCTTGAACCGGCTATAATAGCCGCCTGTGACGAAAGCCGAGCATTCTATCAAATGTCCGGCAATGAGAGCACCGGCAAGTTCATCAAGCCGCGTGGCATCCCATCCATGCCACCATGCGGCGATTCCGATGGTTGGTGCTGCATCAGAGACCCTACCACATATCAGCACAGCTCCTCAGATGAGAAAATGAAACAACGTCAATCTCTGTTACATACCTCCCGCAAATAACAATGTCAGCACCTTGCCGCAAAGCCTCAGCTATACCTAGGCTGCCGAGATATGCCTGTGCACAGAGGGGCTCGAAACCCCATTCTTTCAAAGACTTGCCGTCTGTCAAACTGCGGAATTCTTCCCCTTGGTCTGCCATCCTCTTGAATGGTGCGGTTACATCATCTCCCTCGACCCACGCCACCTTGAGTTTCAATCCAGCCGCTCTAACCATTTCATCTACCACTTCTGCCAGTAGCTCCGTGTCGCTCGCTCCGGCATTAACGGCTAACTTGGACCCATTTTGCGCTAATGTATGTATAGCTGGCTCAAAGCATTGGATGAAAGTGCTGGCGTACTGAGCGGTTTTTTTGCGTTCCTGAAGGGACAGTTGTGTCGATTCGGTACCGGTGACCGCCTTCAACGCCTTACCCGCGCCATATCCGGTCATAACATTCTCAGAAAGCCAATCGCCTACGATAGCATCTACAGACGGATCACTCGCCAACCGTGAGATGGCGGCGACGCGATCCGTAAAGCCACCCGAAGCCCCTCCGATGCGGACTGGTCGACGATGTGATCCCGTAGACATGATTAGAATGGGCTCGTAGAGATCAAATGCTTGCTGTGGTTGGAATAACGGCCTCGAATATGTGGCGAAGACTTGGAAAGCTAGCTTTACAAGTATACTTCTATAACAGTAATTGTGTGAACACTAATAATTGTCAGTGACCATCTGGGACGAAGTGGAAACGCATCCTACTGGCTACAACCCCATAGCGAAGCAGCGCGCGTCAGGATCGGAATGGACCGAGGACACCCCCGGACGAGGAGTTGTTACCCCCAAATGCCAGGCTCTACAGGGATGTCCGCTCCCCACAAAATCCGGGAAACAAGATCCGTCTTGTGATTTACAACGAGGAAATGGTACTAACCCTAGTAGAGTCAAGCGTCGTAAGAGCGCTGAATCTCCCAACTCAGGCCAGCGATTGGACGACTCTAGAGTTCACTCAGCGTGAATCGAAGGTCTACGATTAGACCTGCCCTATTCCGAAGGAACCTCCGCTGATCCGAGGGAGGAATATCATTCTAGGAAGACGTAGGGCGTAAACTGAAGTCACTGGCCCTGACTATGTCGCGGGCTCGCAGGACTCATCGATGCAAGCTGCTATCTCCGGAAACCGATTCCGGAAGCTTCCTCCAACTGACCAGTTCCTTAATTGACGCAAATGTTCTTCGTACACTGGATTGAAGGTGATGTCTTCGCCACCTGCATCACTCCGGCTAGTGACGATTACAACGTGGGATGGGTCGTACGGCCAACTAACTGATATACTTGAGCTGTACGTGGTTGCCCAGTCATCCAGTGTAATCTCCGGATGAGAAACCAAGTATTCGCGAGCCTTGGGCCACGGAATTCTATCAACCCAGGCGGCATGTGGAGTTGACAGTTGACTTGGTGTTGGTCGCAGCCAAGCAGGCATCTGGTCCCAGCTTTCTTTGTCAAGAAGGACAAGCCACTGGAAAATTCAGTCCTTGTGATATAATCCCGAGAGAGCATGAAAGATGGGCTCACCTTGAGCAGCGTCGACATGACGTAGAATACTGCAACTTGCTTAGGTAGGGTGTCGATCTCTAAGTAACTTCTTACTATGTCTCCTACAACGTTGCTAATGTCATCGTCTGTTCTCCTGTCTTTATGCAGCAACGAGGCGAGGTTGGGCTTCAATGGATATGCAGATGTCACAGAAGACCCGTGCTCTGCGACCATGACACATTCTCCGCGTTTCGAATCCAGAAAGCCTTGAAGTATCTGGTCGGCAATGCAAGACGCCGGAGAGTTCATGGGCGCCATCTCCCAGATGTCTCTAGGTTTCGTCGGCAGAGCTATTGTCTCTGTAGGGCTGTGCACCGCAGTACTTCCGATCAAGCTGAGTTGTAGAGCGGCATTCTGGGCTCGAAGATGAGCATTGTCAGTCTCCAGCATGCGGAGCCTGGCATCTAAAAGGCCGACATCTCGAGTTCGCTCATCCAACGTCTGAGTCAAAAAGCTGACTTGCTCGGTCAAATTTGCGATTGTCCATTTAGTCCGGTCCCTCATCGCCTGCTGTGATTTGCGGTCCCTTGCTCTTTTCCTCTGCAACTCGAGCTCCTTGGATTTCACATTCCCAAAGGAGGACTCGGAAGACCCAGATGCTGGGGACACAGCGGATGGTCCAGAAGGAGCTTGAGACATGTTGCAGGTATTTTGAACGATTCTCAGTTGCACAGAGACAACCAGAAGCGGTTTCATTGCATCTCAACTATTCCGCCAACAGCAAGATGATCAACGCGCGATGGTATGATGGCGAACAACAGGCTTGTTCACCCTCCTCGCCGCCGCTGTGCGTGACCTCCGGTGATGAGACGTTGATCTGATAGGAGTACGTGGAAAGGTGGGGAGACAAAAAGAGAGGGAAAGCGGTGGTCGGCCATACAATACAAGCCGTTGGATTCGAGAAATGTCAAGCATAACATTAATTTGCTCGCCTGGCATGGATTGGTATGGCAATGCTGCCGGGTCTAAGTACTGTACTGTACTGTACATGTAGAAGTAGGCGCTGTGCGGGGTAGACACGTCCGCAAGGCGCCACTACGGGCATTGCAGCCACTCCGGATCCCGGCTGGGCTCGCCCCCAGACTCCCTGCGGGCATTGACGAACGCAACTATGAACCCGCTTCTTAGTGGAGTGAAGCAATAATTACCGTGCAGAACTCGAATGACTGGTTGCACGATGAGATTATGCTCGAAAGTCGAGCTCAGGCATGCCAATTTCAATGCGCAAATGTAATGAAGGCTCGCATTCGAAACATTGCAATGGTTTCTAGGTCCGCTGCTCTAAAGCACCAACTGCCCCTGACCATCAAGACAAAAACCTGGGGTGGATCTCTACACGAATCACTCATCCATGACGAGTGCGGGTCAGTACTCTGCATTTCCTTTACACATCCGTATCAGCCTTCTTCAAGGCGACGTCTTTTCCTGTATTTGTCATCTTTCTCTCGACAGTGCTCGTCAGAAACTTTGCCGCGTCCTTCGAAAACAAGCATCCGACAATCGCGATGCCACCAAAACCCAAGCTGGCCAGGTAGACTGTCTTGAATGCTTGAGAATATGCAAGCGGCATCACGCGTGTCACGGCCGCAGTGATGGCGTCGGTGATTCCGGGGAACATTGCTAGCTTGCCCGCTTTCGCTGCCGCCACAAGGGCTGGGACCTGGTCGGCGGGAAGTCCTGCAGCAATTGCAACTGGCCCAATGTTGGCGGGTAGTGTGCTTGCTAGGCGGTTCGATAAAATCGTAGAGTACACAGCAACTGCGATCGATCCTCCGGCCGATCGAATTGAGGCAAGCAAGCCGGATGCAAGACCAATATCAGAAGGCTTGCAGAACAGAGGCGCCAGGGCGAGTGAGGCAAGCTCAATGAACCCGACGAAGAATGGGCCGAGGATTGTGAGTGCAATACCCGTCGTCTTTGTGTCCGGGGTTAGTGATGCCAGTGCACCGACAAACCCTACCATTGCAAAGGTGCTGAAGATAATCCAATATCGCACATTTCCGCCCCATTTGACGATAGCGCCGGCGCAGATTTGTCCGAGGGCTGTTGAACTGCCCACGGTAGTCTAACATGTGTGTGAGAATTGCACCATAGGCATAGATCAGCGGTTCGAAAGCAATGAACATACCGAAAGCCAGCCAGCATAGGTGACATCCTTGGTGAACAGTGCCTGGACCTGTTGTGGCCAGAGCAACACGGCCGAATAATAGAACATCTGTCCATCATTTCGTTAGATTACCTCCACACTCATTCACATGTTACAAGACTCACACTAGCAACAGTAGCGCAGCAGACGAGGGCCATGAACCCGCGATTGGCGAAAAACTTGACCGGGATAGCTGGGTAGGCCAAGTTGGCGAATGCTTCCCAGGTGAAGAGCACGATGAGCAAGACGGCACCAATAACAAGAGTGGAAATCACAGCTGCTGACTTCCAGGGATATATGGTGCCACCCATTGAAATGCCCATCAGTAAGAGAGTAAGTCCCGCGGTCCAAAGAAAAATACCAAGGTCTAACAAGATTAGCAGTTGAGAACGTCAGAGAGAATCAAACTTACAGTCCAGCTGCTTCAGCAGTTGTCGCTTGGTCTTTCTCTCGTGAAGGAGCTCAAATGTGGGCGGATGATAAAAGAAGAATAGCAAAATGATAGCCAATCCAACGGCAATGATGTTGATATAGTATGTCCACCTCCACCCAAGGTTGGAATGCTGAATGAGCTTCCGGGCTTCAGGTAATGTTCAGCATAGTTGAAACGCAAATTGTACGGAATGGCTTACCCATGATTGGTCCGAATGTGGCAAACGGTGCGTTTGTTGCAAATATAAAGCTCAGAACCATTGGTCGGTACTTGTTAGGAACAAGCTCGCCAATACTACCAGGGGAATTAGCAGGGGAAACGCAATCTATCGTGAGGTGCCGCGGAGGTATGACTTACGCAACATTGAAGCTCAGTTGAACTGTCTCTCCCAACCCATAAATAGCGCTTCCAATGATCAAAGAATTCACATTCTGGGCAGTGGCGCACACAATGATGCCGATAAGTGCGACACAATTGCCACCAATGAAGAACCAGCGCCGACCGAAGAGATCTGACAGACGACCGAGGATTGTGTAGGTAAACGACAAAGCAAGTGTTCGAGCAATGTTGACCCATGAAATATAGGCGCTTGGCCCTATCGATAGTTAGGAGCGTTATTGACAGATACTTAGAATGAACTAACCGATATCCGCATTGATATAAGTCCTTTTATAGTTTAGCTGAGGCTCGATCCTGAACGGGTGCTGATTTACAAGGACTCACAGGATGTTTGTCGGCATCAACAAAAAGATGTATGCCGAAATTGCTGAAAGGCAAAAGCCCTGAGAGATATCAGGTCTCGAAACGTTCTGTAGATCATCAAGAAGGGATCTTACTGTAAGTGCACCTAAAAAGTTCACCGAATGGAAATAGCCTTTGGGAATATCATCTCCTAAAGCCTCAGATCTGATCGATGACGCATCATCTTCGTCCCTGGGGCGACGGTGACCTTTATCTGGCATGGCCTCGACATTTTCAATTCTTTCGTGCTCCATGGCTTTGTTGACATCCATGGTTGTAGCCAGATTAATCTGGTAGGACTCAAAGTACCGATGTGTGGACTGCTGAGGTGGTTGAAATGAAGTTAAGTTGAAAAGCTACCATTTTTGAATCAGGGACGAACTTGTATATCAAGTAAATAGCCAACGCGCCAACGCGGTCACAGCGTAGCAAGGTGTTTGTACCCCCTAGTTGATCCTCTAGCACAGCCCAAAGTATGAAAAGGTAGGAGAGGGTCTAGGCGCCACAGACTCCGGGAAAATGGCACCCCAGACTTACTTTGCGGGGAAATGGTTGCGCTCAATCATTTTGACCTGATTCGGATGGTGTGCCCGAGGCGTCTCTTGAACGGACCCATACACAGCCACTACTGAATCATCAATGTTGGAGACTTCTCGCCCAAGCCTTACGGATTGTCGGGAGGGGAGAGACGCAGGTATGAAAGACATCTTTCTTTTGTCATTTCACAAATTGATAGCTGATAAAGTCTGGCAACGAGTCATCATTTCTTCCTTTCGGCCGATCAACAGGTGCAGCAACTGCAAGGCCTTGTTGGCATCTGTAGGTTTGTAGTGCCATGCCGGACAACAACATCCAGCATTGGACCTTCGGCGACGGAATGTATCTGTGCTCCCAAGATCGTCCTACCTGAAACCCAAACCCAGGGACGCGGGTTCACTGGATGAATATGATTCGTTGAGAAGAATCTACGGTATAACTAGGTAAAGAACTATACCCTAGAGGCAAATACGAAGGGCATGAGATGCGTTTAGACGGCTTCATATGCACTCTAGATCTATAATTGGCCTCAATTCCGTCATCCTGAACCTGGCACACTAACCATTTCCCACAGAGCCGATATCATAGTCTACTTCCTTTCCAATTAGGATCTCTCTTCTCGGAGAACGCTTTTAGGCCCTCTAGAATATTCTCGCCCCTTTGAAGCTCTGCAAACTCCTTTTCAAGTGTCCATTCTACAGCCCTCTCTACACTGGCTGTCTCCCATCCTTGGCGCAGCCCTGCTCTTGTACAAATAATGGCATCCGGGCTGTTCTTGGCAATCATGTCTGCGTATTTGACCGCCTCCTCGACCACCTGTTCCTTGGGCACGATCTTATTTACTACACCCCACTGTAACATCTCCTGTGCTGTCACATTTCTTCCTGTCAGGGCAATTTCAGACGCTCTTTGTAAGCCAATTGTCCGTATAAGCCGCGGTAAAGCGCCCCCAATCGCTGCAATACCTCGCTTGACCTCAGGCAAACCGAAGTATGCGTCCTCTGCTGCGATGACCAGATCACAATTCACAATGAATTCGCAACCCCCTCCCATTGCTAATCCATTCACGGCTGCAATAACCGGCTTTTTCCCCAGCCTTCGGCTGAGAGGTTTAAAAGCGGGTGCATTGCCCATCCGGCTTTTGGGATCCGCATCCGAGGACATGCTGTTGTTCCATTCCTTCAGGTCAGCTCCCGCAGAGAAGGCTCGTCCAGTTCCCGTTATAATCGCCACGCTCAGGGATGGTTCTTGATCAAACCACTTCCACACAGAATCCATCTCCCACTGTGCTGCAGTCGACATGGCATTGAGATCTTTCGGACGTTCCATTCGTACAAGTAAAACGCGAGGGGCTGGATAAGACAGCCTCAGAAAAGCTGGTGTCGGAGGAGGCGGCGTCGTTGTTTGCGCCATCGCGCTATTGGAAAACCGAGATAACGCGGTGATTTTTTTTCTTGGCGAACGCAGAATGTTGGAAGCTGGCAATCAATTAATCGTGTAAGTGTGATGAATTTTCCATAGATCGGTTCGATAATTTGAGATTTGTCCAGTCAGTATACACGACAAATCCTCGTTGACGAAGAACTTGCTCAAAGAGCGCTCTCTGTCTAGATTACCCCAATGGCGAGTTCAGCCGCGGGATTAGAGTTCATGTGCGAATGCCGTGGTTCGCTGTTCGCCAACGATGGCGGGCTGCACATGCACAGGGAGGGGCCGGGAGTGGGTGCTGCCTTCGCTTGAGCATTTCCGTATTTCTTGCCACTAATTGAAGTATTGATATCCATGGATTTTAACGCAGTAATTATCAGCCTCTGATTGGCTCGCTGCATAGGTAGGAGGACGGACCTTTGCCATCCCTGCGTTCCAGCTTCCCCACAGTCCATTTAGGGGGCGCGGGGAAGGTGGAGAAAAGGGGGGAAGACGACCTAGGAATTACACCCTAATGATTCATTGCTTAGGTTAGGTCAAAACAACTGGTCACATCCTCGGTCTTCTCACGGATTCGGTGCTCCGAATGTTGGACCGGAAAACCATGGCTGGCAATAGCTTCACGGCTGAAATCGGCTAGACGCGTGTGTGCTAAGAGCACGTTGCAAAGGTTCGACATCTTCTATGCTACCACGTTGACAACAATTACTTTTACGTTTGGGGGAGAGACACGCGGTTCAGTACAAGAGTGCAAGTTTGCTTATCCAACGACGCCCAAAGCTAAACATGGCAACTCCAAGAACAAAGAACCCTGTGCCGTCTTGGATTGAAAATCCATATCCACACGTCGACCATGTGATTATCTCATTTCCTCGCAAGCATATCTTGCTCGTGACAATAAATAGGCCACAGTACATGAATTGCTTGCCTGTGCAAGCGACTATTGAGCTCGGCGCCTTATGGAAATGGTATGACGCTGAACCGGAACTACGATGTGCGATTTTTACTGGAGCAGGGCAAAAGTCTTTCTGTGCAGGCATGGACCTAAAACAACGGCTAGACATCATTAAGACCAATGACATAGCACTTGAATACCCTCAGGGACAATTTGGTGGAATGAGCAACAGGACTGGCAAAAAGCCCATTGTAGTGGCTTGCAATGGGCACGCCCATGGTGAGTGGATGCATATCGATTGTGAAAACGCGAAACTGATTATCGTTCAGGAGGCGGCATGGAAATGGTACTAAATGCGGACGTTATCTTCGCCTCACCGAATGCCGACTTTCGTCTTCCGGAGGTTCTCCGCGGGGTCTCTGCTCTTGCAGGAGCCCTACCACGATGCATGCTGCTATTCGGAAATCATCGTACAATGGATTTGATCCTGACGGGAAGAGTTCTCAGCGTCGAGGAAGCTGTTCAATGGGGGCTCGTGAAGGAAATTGTACCTCAAGAGCAACTACTACAGCGAACAATCGATTACGCCGCAGACATAGCTGCCTTGAGCCCCGATAGCGTCATCATATCAAGGCTTGCCGCACGAGAAGCGTGGGAGACTGGAGTAAGCCGAGCTACAATGAGAGGTCAGGAATTGTGGGCAGAGAATATGCTTAGAAGTAAAAATGCAGCAGAAGGTCTCGCAGCCTATAGAGAGAAGAGGGATCCAAATTGGTTCCCATCACACATCTAGACGATTCTCGTTTGAATAGTAGCCCACAAAAGTCAAATCACGATCTGCTATTCTCGTGATGTGATTGAATTTGCTAAACTCTACAATATAATTTCTAATACGCCGAGACTGGGACATATATTGAAGCGAGACATCTGAATGACGTGGTATTACAACTTACTAGTTTCTTGCTTGATTTTTGCATAGCCATTTGAGCTATATAATGTTAGCGTTATTATGTGCAGGAAGCGGCGGAAACGGGGAAACGAACAGAGCAATCCGGCCATCGCCTTTGACAATGGTCTCAAACATAATATTGTCGCATCCGTCCTTTGATCCAACCTTCCACATCCTGGTTTCCAGCTCATCTCCCGGATACACTACACTTTTGAATCTAGCACCATAAGCTTTGAGTCTATTTGGATCCGAGTTCCCAAGCTCTCTTAGAAGACCTCTAGCCGCAATATTCCAAGTTCCCAGCCCGTGCAGAATGGATCCTTTGAAACCGGCCCGCTTACCAAACTCCTCGTCGCCGTGCATCGGGTTGTAGTCACCACATAGTCTATAAAGAAGAGCTACTTCGGGAGTTGTTTTGAAAGTATGCTTGGCATCAGGAACCCGATTGGGCGGCTTGCTGGCTGGCTTTGACGGCCCACGTGGTCCATTATACCCACCCTGACCGATCCCAAACGCCATGGATGTCATTTTGACATAAACCGTGTTGGTCTTTACATCGACCAGCTCCTGTTCCGCTTCCATGATCATTGCCCCTCCTGCACAGTATATATATATCAGTGCCATATTCAAAGTGGATGTTGAACCATGGGATTGACTAGCCTTTATCATAGACGCCAATAACCTTGTTGTGAATTTCCAAGTCCAGCCCATCTGAACTGACAGGTAGAGGTCGGATAATTTCAATTCCCCGTTCGCCATCAACCGACCGCTGTGCATCAAAGGGGGGAACACCTGGGACCTCGGCGGATGTTGTACGAGCAATGAAGTCAAAGACATCTTGATCCGTCTGCTTGAAAGCTAAGTTGATGGGGAAGGTCGGGAATGCCGCAAACTTGGGGTGTAACTCATACAGAAAGTGACGCTCATCTTGCTGCACTCCAATTGCGTTTGCCTGTAGATAAGTTGTCAGCAAAGGTGCCATTGGATTGTTTCTGTTTTGTGAGCCACTGACGAAGAGAAGAACGTCGCGACGATTGTAGCTGCATTTTAAAGGGGGGTACCTGTATCCAACTGCCTTTCTAAAGTCGACGTTGTCGTATCTCCCCGACGCATTTTTCACGGGCTTGTCATTAGGTGCCATTGATTGCTCTTTGTCATATAGTAGTTCAGTTGTAGTAAATGTACTGGAATTCATGCGCTTTCCCCATAGACGGAGCTCGCAATTATATTGTACAAGAGGAGCGAATGTGGGGTAGCTCGGGGCGTGGTTGTTCGGCACCGGAAGTGGAGATCCAGCCACACAGGCATCTATTTCGGTTAGATACGCCTCCATGTTCCTCGGCCGTTCCTGCTTTGGTAGACCATCGGGCCATGATGACTTCACTGAAAAGTCGGCTCACATGTTATCTCAAATGGAGAAATTTACATTGAAAGTAGAGTAACCGAGCCGATTTGTCTTATTGAGTTTGAAGATGCTATTCATAGTCTTGGCAGGGCCATTTCTACCAATGCTCTTGCTTCTGAGCGCTTCTTTTGTTCTTGTTGAACTAGATCTCTTGGTAGTGACACATGTCTCGCCCTGAGAAACTCGCTAAAGCTTTTTCCAAAACCATCGATGATGCTACTGCTGCTTACCCCGTCCTGGAGAATACCTTTGACGACAAAATGGACAGCCCAGAGATTGCCAAACTCACATCTTTCTACTCTATAAGCGTCGTTCCAATCGTCGCCGAGTAGCTCAATAAGTTTAGCACTGGATAGAAACGACTGAAGCCACGGCCAAGCTGTTTGATCACGAACCCAGAACCCTACATTCGCATTTCCACCTTTATCGCCGCTTCTCGCAAACACTAGGTCGCCCAGTGGCCGTATTTCCGTGCTTGAAGTCTTGTCATAGCTCGATGCTGGCTCATATGTTCTTTGAGGTGGTGCTTCCGAGACACAGTCGTTCTTAGCTTTTGGTGGCACCTTTATAAGCTTTTTGCCATCAACAAAAGTAACTGAAAGTGGCACATGAGTCTGTGAAACCAACGCTGGAAAGTATTTGACATAAGGTCGCGGTTCCATTGTCCGCCAATCCATAGCTAGGTGTAGGCCACAATATCCTTGCATGCCATTATAAAATATTGCTCTTTTGAATTGTGTCATGGCCTCCTTCTTCGGAGACTGGGCGAACATGCGGATCTGCACAGTACAGTCTCGCTGTGACCTTGGATTGGGTGGCGGGACTCCGTATCGTTCAATGCTGAAAGTCGTGAAATCAGCGGAGTTTATCTCGCGTAGAACGCCAGTCTTCATTTGATTGAACTTGGCCTCTGTGTCCAGTCCGGCACAGTAACCGGAAAGCTCTGCTTGCCAGCCCCCAAGCAGACAGATTGCTAGCTTTGCCGTGAGTGGTGGAGGAGAGCCGATAATCCCAGACAACCGGACACGGTCTTTTCCCACACTTTGTAATTGAGCCTGCTCGATATCAGCAACCACATCTGGGTTCAGATATGTTGGTCCCTGAATTTCATACAGCAACTGAGCCTTGCAAGTATCGATTGTAACCGCTCCATTGGTGCCTTCCGATTTGGTGATTATGCAAGTTCCATCAGCAGCTATCTCCGCAATGGGGTAACCTAGGCGGTGAATATCCTTGATCTCGGCCGAGCCGCAGAAGTTGCCTCCGGTGACATACGGTCCGCACTCAATCAAGTGTCCTGCCATCAAACTACCAGCAAGTTTGTCATATTCATTGTGACGCCAGCTATGCCACCAGGAAGCCAGCCCCATTACTGGACTCGCGTCGCAACACCGTCCGCATATAACAATGTCTGCACCTTCCTGCAACGCACGCACAATTGCAGCCTGTCCCGTATACACATTCGCGCTTAGCATCGTCTCGATCTCAGAGGTCTGTAGAGTGACACCCTTTGTGTCAAGATGCTTAATCTGTCCATACTCGCCCCGTTTCACCTGATCAGTCACATTATCGCCATTGATCCACGCGATCTTGACCGTTACGATTCCTAGGCTCTTAAAAAGTTTGTCCGTGGCAATGGCAAGTCCTTCAGGGTTTAAAGCCCCGCCATCGTGAACAATCTTAATGCGGCTCTTTGCTACGAGCCTTGCTGCCTCACCCTCCTTCCAAGACAACTGATCTAAGAAATTGGCTTCATAACCTAGATCCGGCCGTGTTTTCAAGTCTATCGCTCTCCACGCCAAATTGAACTCTGCGAGGTAATCGGCGGTTATAGCATCAATGTTTCCAGCCTTGGCGAGCTGGTAAATCTGGTCTATCCCATCACCGATGGCGCCCGAGCAGTTTCCTATGCGTATTGGTCTTCGAGCTTCGGGCATATCGATTGCAAATAGAAGTAATAGCTGTGGAAGAGGGATTTGGTGCCCAAAGAAGAAACAAAGGACTAGAATGCCACGTCTTATGCATACTGTTGCACGTATACCATATCGCAAGCTTTTTCTCGGCCCTTTGAAGCCAGTCTGACGTTCTGTATGTGTCGTTGTAGGCTTTCCAGATTCTGGGATCACTTGCGCCAACGAGCCCCGCGTGCAAGCGAAAGGTAACCACCATCGGATGCGTATTACCAGCCGAGCTTGTTTGAGGGGGTTTGCCTCGCGGTTTCCGGACCACGCTGATTCATTAGTTTCCTCATGGTGAATCCTTGCTTATGAAACAAACTACCCCGGATTGACTGTTCTAATGAGTCAAGACTGCGTGGACCCCGCTGCGGGGATGGAGGCCCATGGTCGACAAGTTCCTTAGTACCTAGCGTATGTTGTCCAAGTGTGCCTTGCAATCAATAGTGTGGATGCATAAGGTACCTGGTCAAGGGCTACATCTAGCATCTAAATTCGCTATGATGCTAGCTACGTGTAGAACCCGCGGTTTCGGATCTTGTCAGCCGGAAGAGCGGCATTGGACTCGTTGCATTGGAGAAAATCTCGTTTGAAAACGATGCGTGCGAAAGATACGGCTTCATTTAGGGAATCGAGACACGAGATCACTGATAGCGCTCGCTTTCAACCGCAGCATTTGCGACAGAGTCATCATGAAAATTTACAGTTCCAACTGGATCGATATCCCCAAAGACAAAAACCTAACCGAGCTTCTTCACGAGACGGCATACCCTAATCTCCCCGAATCGCATCTCATCGCGAAGGACAGCCTAACAAACCGAAGCATTACAATTGGAGAGCTTCGAGATCGAGCTGGACGAATAGCAAAGGGCATTGCAGATGTGCTGAGGCCATCTCACCAAGACCGCTGGGCAATAGTGCTACCGAATAGTGTTGAGTACCTTGAAGTGTTCCACGCCATTCTCTGGACAGGAGGAGTGGTTTGCCCTGTAAATCATGCTCTAAAGGCATCCGAAATCGGGCATGGTCTGGCAGTCTCGAGACCTCACTTTGTGGTCGCGTATGGTCCGACCATTCCCTCGATCAACGAGGCGGTAGACATCGCGTACAAGGACCTTACAGAACAAGGAATCAAATGGGAGCGACCTCGAGTAATCACAATAATATCCGAAGTTCAAGGCTTCCAACACATTCCCGATGATTTCTTCGGATCATCGAGGTTGCCAATTCCACATTGGACAGACACATCTAAGCAATTGGCGTCGATCCACCTCTCCTCTGGGACTACAGGCAAACCAAAGGGCGTTGAGCTAACGCATCTCAATTTCGTGTCTAACGTCTACCAGTTGTGTGCTCATGACCCAAAACAATTCCACCCGGGATCTCGTACAGTGGCTTTCACGCCGTGGGCCCATATCGCGATGACGACGATGCCATTATTCATGTCTCCATATACAGGGATGATGCACCACGCAATGCCATCATACAATCTGGAGAAGTTTGCCGAGCTGGTCGGGTCGAATCAAGCAACCAGCTTTCAGGGTGTCCCCAGCGTGGTGCTGACTCTGGCCAACTCGGATGTCACGTCTCGATTCGACTTCTCCCAGGCACAGATTATCAATGTTGGCGGGGCGCCCCTCAAGAAAGACCTCATTGATCGACTGTTGAGTAGAGCTCCTTGGAAGCTGGTCCAGTTGTATGGCATGACAGAAGCTGCCGGATACGTAGCCTATCAACGATGCGAAGAAACCGTACCCGATGGAGCTGTGGGGAAGCTGCTACCTAATATAGAAGGCTGTCTCAAAAAAGAGGGAAGCACTGAGGATGTGGCTCCAGGAGAAGCTGGGGAACTGTGGCTTCGTGGTCCAAATATAACTAAGGGATACGCTTTTAATGAGGAAGCGAATCGTACAGCTTTTCCCTTGCCTGGTTGGTACAATACCGGAGATGTGGCAAGAATAGACGAGGAAGGGCGCATCAGCATCGTAGGACGCACCAAGGAGTTGATCAAGTACAAGGGCTTCCAAGTCTCTCCTGCTGAGCTTGAAGGCTACCTCAATTCACACCCTCACGTGATTGAGGGGGGAGTTGGAGCGATTTGGGACGAGAGTCAGTTGACAGAACTGCCGGCAGCTTGGGTGGTACTAAAGGAGCATGTCTTCGGTGACAAAGATACAAGACGGGCACTAAAGGATATACACAAAAGCGTTGACGAGCAGGTAAGTGGCTACAAAAAGCTACGAGGAGGCGTGTGGCAGGTATCATCATTGCCAAAGAACTCGACTGGGAAGATTCTAAGGAAACAGATGATTCAAATGCGGGAAGGACATTGCTCGCTTGAAGCGGACGTATTAGCGAAGCTATGAACAAAACGCTGATGGTCAACGAATTCATATGAGACGCTCTCATAGATTGAATAAATGCTCACAAAGGTCTGGAAGTTCGAGACCGTTGCATTCGAGTAAAACGAGATTCAGAGTGGTGAGGTTTATGGCATGTGTATCTTAGGGTCAATTGTTCAATTGAACAATTAGAGAGTACACAGAAAAAAACTCCGCTGACGGCTGCTCTGGTGTAATCGCTGAGACCCACCTCATGCGGATAACAACGCCCGGGGGACACTACACTTAGCGTCTAGTTGATCGGCCTCCTCGTATTAGCGACACCGAAAGAATGGCAAGCAATACAGAAATAAAACCAAAACCAAAAACGGCAGAGTCCTTACGCTTATATTAATACTGGAATAGTTATTTTCAGTCTCACGATGGGTCATAAACTCATTATTGCCACACTATTCACCGCGAGTCAGGAGGCTCGTGAAAAGGTGATCTCACCTTCTGTTCTCGCAAAAGCTTATAATGCTAATAATTCCTAGTTTCTTGCAAAACTTACTGTTGTTTCAAAGAATGCCCAGGAAAGCGAGACAGGAACTTTGAAGTATGCAACTTTCGTCCCGAGGGATGAGAATGATGACAAAACCATTTGGGTGGTGGAAGAGTAAGTGATTTGCCATCATCATAATTTAGTACCTATGATTAATCTAACAATTCGGAAGGTATGTGGATCAGGCAGCCTTTGACTTACACATGAATAAGCAAGAGGTCAAAGACCTCATTCAGTACCTAAAAGACCAAGAAATTCTAATAGGTGAACCAAATATCCGTGAACTGGAAGTCATCGATGGCATGGATCTCACCCGGGCAGACGTCGACCAATGCGCCGACCCATACATTGCCTTCGCTGAGTTGGATTATAGGACAGGCGCTGTGCCACAATCTATCCCTTATTGGAAAGAAGTAGTTGCAACATCTCGAGAAGAGAGTGGAACTTTGGTCTACGGTCTCCATAAAGATCCGCTGCAACCAGATAAGCTCTTTACACTCGAGGTCTACGAAAGCAAGACCTATTTATGGGATGTTCACGCGAAGAGCAACGCAGTTGCAGAAAATGTGAAGCATACTAAAGACTTAAGGAAAGGACTAAAGCATTCGTTCTTGAAGCTAAGGTCAGGATTCTTGTCCCAGAGTTAGCCACACAAATCGATGGATTGAGTAAAATAAGAGCCTAGAATGCTTATGAAAACTATCTTCTCTATACTCTAAATGTGAATAACTTCGATTCGCGCACTTCAGTTGATCTTAGAGGCTTGAGTTCACCCACCTTTGACAAGACAGAAGCCAGATGTGGTCTGGTTCTGGTGAATGAATGCACATGATGAACCGATCTCTCAGTGATCGTGTATTCTGGTGGCATCTCAATGATAAGACCCCCTATTCACGCTAGGAAATAGAAGGCCGAACTTCTATGTCCCCATGCGGAGTGTAATGGCTAGGCGCTGTAATAGAGTCTCGGGACCTTCTCATGAATCATTAGCGCGTGGCATAAGCTTGCATTAAGTGGTCTCTGAGACCCCCTACCTCCACATTGCCCCGCGATTCCAAGCAGTGCGATGATTCACCTCAGATGGGCAAACGGTGGCCACAGAACATGCGAATGTACTTGGTGGAATAGTATTTGAACCCCGCATACCCGTCTCTTACTGACTGAAGTCGATTGTGACTGTTCATAATTATTGCTACTAATTTGAATGATCATAATTCTTCAACATGGGTTCTCTTGGCGATAGTATTTCAAACGGCCTTAATGGTCTCACACAAAAGCGTCCTATTCGGATAGCTGGCTGCTCTGGGGGTGAGTTGTATGGATGTAAGGAAAAGCTTGTCGTTCTGATTTGATACCTAGGTGTATATGATAGAAAGCGTGCCATTCACGATATGGCGAAGAACGAAAACGTCGATGTCATCACAGGAGACTGGATGTCTGAATGCAATATGACACTAAGAGGGTCGGATAAAAGAGATCGTCTGGCGCAGAAGCAAATGACTTCCGGTTCAACCGTTGTTGCAAAGGGTTACGAGCCGTACTTCCTCGACGAGTTGGACCCAGCCATCCCTTGGCTCGCTAAGAAAGGCACGAAAGTTGCGGTGAACGCCGGTGCGAGTGATGTTCATGGCCTTGCCGAAGCCGTCAAAGAACTGATCAAAAAGCACAATGTAAACTTGAAAGTTGGCGTCGTCGATGGCGATGATGTTACGGATGCCGTACTTGATTTGTATAAGAAGGGTATGTCCCATATGTGAAGGATGTATAGTCTAGAATCTGATTTGATCATAGGAGAACCTTTCTACAACCTTCCCGCCAACAAGCCTATCCAGGAATGGGGTTTCGATCCGATTTGCGCACAATGCTACCTCGGCGGAACTGGAATTGCGGCATGCTTCGAAGGTGGCGCTGATATCGTTCTGTGTGGCCGTGTCGCAGATGCCTCAGTCACAGTCGGTGCTGCAATGTGGTGGTATGGATGGAAACGAGAAAATCTTTCGGAGCTTGCTGGTGCCCTGATGGTTGGCCACATTATTGAATGTAGCACATACGCAACTGGAGGCTATTACTCTGGATTCAAGGACCTCGGGGTAAATGATACTGATATGGGCTGTGAGTTGCCCCCATATCTATCCAAATGCGAAGCTGATGGTCTCTAGATCCAATTGCATCCATCGACCATAAGGGAGAAGCTGTTATCTCCATGGAGAAAGGAAAACATGGGTTGGTCAATATCGCAACCGTTGCCAGCCAACTGCTTTATGAGATCCAAGGGCCACTCTACTACAATTCCGACGTCACAGCGTCCATTGAAGATATGCATTTGAAACAGATTGGCGAGAACGAAGTTCATGTTTCTGGAGCCAAGGGTCTCCCGCCTCCAGCAACAACTAAAGGTCCGTGAATTCTGCTTTCTCATAATCACACAAGCTAATCTGTTACATCAGTTGGTATCACCGCAAAAGGCGGTTATCAAGCCGAATTTCATTTCTACCTCACCGGCCTTGACATTGAAGAAAAGGCCGCGATGGTCGAGCGACAAACGAAGGCTTTGATGGGGGAGCATCTTAGCAAGTTTTCGTGCCTACGATTCATGATTGCTGGTGGCGTGCCAGAGGACCCTCAGTCCCAGGAAGAGGCGACCGTTGACATGAGAATATTCGCACAGACCCGCGATCCGGATATTCTATCAGGCAACAATTTCGTCGACTCTGATCGCGGATCATTTGCTCGTTTCTGCATCGAAAATCTTCTCCAAGGTTACCCTGGAAGTACCATGGCTCCAGATATGCGAACAGCGATTGGCCGGCCGTTCTTTGAGTATTGGGTCAGCTTATTACCCCAGACCTTCGTTCACGAGACAGCACACTTGCCAGACGGCTCTGTCCTGGACATCCCCGCTCCATCCCTAGTAAAGACATATGATCGTGAGCAGCCTAGCTATGACACGGTTAATCCCGTCGACCTTTCAAGTTTTGGCCCAACCACCCGTGCGCCTCTCGGATACGTGGTTATGGGTCGTTCCGGTGACAAAAGCTCAAACGCTAACCTAGGTCTATTTGTTCGACACGACGATGAATGGGATTGGTTACGGTCGATCCTCAGTGTAGCTAAATTACGGCAACTGCTTGGAAAGGATGATAAGGGCAAGCAAATCGATCGATGCGAATTCCCCAATATCAGAGCTGTTCATTTCTTGCTGAAAGACCATCTTGACCGAGGATTCAACTCAACAAGCAGCTTTGATAGCTTGGGCAAGAACTTGTGCGAGTATATTCGATCTAAGCACGTAGATGTCCCCAACAAATTTTTAGAGAGGGGAAGGATCTAGAAATTGCACTCGATAAGGAATTTGAAGTATAGCTAAATCAATGGGCCAATGCTTTGAGTGAATTGAGAAACATTTTACTGATCCTCGCAGCTCTACAAGAGTTGTGTATTCCATGTTTAATGTAGGAAGAAGTGTGTAACTAATTCGTTCTGTAATAGCAGTCACGGTTCGTGTATATCAAGCTCAGTTTAATTGCAATTGTCGTTGCCCGTTCCCAAGCCTCTGTGAGTCCCTGAGAGATAATAACTCTAGTGTCATAGATTTGAGCGCAGTGTATCGTTCTTTCGTCCTTTGACAGGCTTTATTGTCTGCATGACATATCATTTGTAAGAGTATCATCAATACTCCGCTTTTGTCGGTAGTCCTTAACCGCCAGGCCGAGCGTAATCCAAGCTGCAAACCCTTTCCCAAACTTCCCTGACTAATCTCTCTTGACTTTGTCTGGCAGTCTCATTACCTGCGGGACCGGCAGGTCTGTTGAAAGACTTTAGAAATAAGAGATTACCACGAGAAAGGGGGTACGCACCGGATGGCAAGATATGCTCTACTCCCTAGCCTCACATTTGTGACTGGATCTCTCTTAGGAGCAGGAGGGGGATGAGCGGTCGTAACAAGACCCCCAGCTTCCTCCAGGATAGCTATACCAGCAGCCACATCCCTAGATATTTGATCAGCTCGAATTGATTAAAAACTTACATAACTGGGTGACTAACCATTCCCAGCACCCACCCTCCCACCAGATATCAAAAGAGCCCATAGCGGTATATGCCAAGTCTAAGGTAGCGCTTCCTAAGCTTCGTACCCCATGCACCATCGCCCCCTTCCCCCCTCGTCCACCTAGCTCTGTTGCCATGTTCACAAAGCTGTCAACCTTTCTTTGCAGGTTACCTCCTGGGATATCACGCCGATCCTTGCCCCATTCACAGCTGAAGATGCATCCTTTTGGTGCACTTGCCGGGATAGGTGGGATGGGCTCCCTTATCAAGGGAAGAGGTCGATTTTCATTCAACCAAGCGCCTTTGCCCTTACAGGAGGAAAAGAATTGACCGAGAAATGGCGCATTAATGACCCCAATAATAGGCTTCGAGTCTAAACAGAATGCGATAGACACGCAAAACATTGGGAAAAGATGAGTGAAGTTCACGGTCCCATCCAACGGGTCCACGATCCAGGTTGGAGAGTCCGTCACCAAGTAATCTCGCGTTGTCCCCGCTGAGTATGTTTCTTCGCCGATAAAACTGCCGAGACACCATAGAATTAGCGACCTTGGGCGACAGCGAGAGTGGAATTGCAATGCGATGATAGTAGTGAAACGGTTGTGCGAAATCAGAGAATGACGCCGCACCTGTGTGTAGGATATTTAGTCGTGATAGATTCTCGGATGAAGGCTTCGACGTCTGTGGATCGAGGACGTGTGGTGTCAGCAGACAGCACCCTAAAAGATCTCCGGCAAGGACTGGATGCGATTGTCGATGAAACAAATCACCGAGAAAATACTTATTACATACCTGTATCAGTTTTAGTCACGATATCGACGGCGTTCTCCTTGTCCACATATTCTGCGCCTGTCTCTGGCTTGCCATCATCATTGAACCTTGACCCGATGCGATAGCTAATTGCATCCATAAGCATATTACCAGCATCCTTCCCCAATTGAATGGCAAACGCATGTATTTCTGCTATCTCCTGGTCTGTCAACTTCGTCATGGTGGCCATAGTTTGTGTTGGATGTCAAGGTTGAAGTTTTGCGATGAGCGAAACTTTTAGATCAGCGCAATTACAGGCGGTGTCAATGCCGGCACAAGCCGACCGACGGATGTGTTCCGTGGTGCAGCTTGGTGTCAGATCTGCAGAACAGGTAGAACTGCAACGTAAGCGCAACACTAAGACTTAGTATGGACGTGGTGCTATTTGCACTACATTGCTCCGCATTTGGGAAGAAGCTTTAGCCTGTCTTGTCATCACTAGTAGTGGCAATCCACGACCTACAATCCCTAATGAGAGCGACGTACCGTATAAGATGAAGGCCAAGCCCTATCATTGAATCTACAGTACAACACCAACCCTTGATAACATTGAGAATCATACATTGTCGGCTCCAAAAGGTTTTCGTAGAATCACAATGGTCGGCCGGCGCATACTTCTTCTCAATGGTCCAAACCTAAACCTTCTTGGTACGCGCGAGCCTCACATATATGGTTCAGTGACACTCTCCGATGTTATCACTCGAGCAACCCAACAAACCCAGGCTCTTTCTGCGGAGCTCGAAACATTTCAATCAAATCACGAAGGCGCGATAATTGATCGAATTCACGAGGCCAGAGGCAATATCGACGCGATCGTCATTAATCCAGGAGCTTTAACACATACGAGTGTGGCGGTCCGAGACGCGCTTCTCGGAGTTGACATCCCATTTGTGGAGATACATGTCACTAATATACACGCGAGGGAGGAGTGGAGGAAGCATAGCTATTTTAGTGACAAGGCACAGGCCGTGATATGTGGCCTGGGGGTATTCGGTTATGAGGCAGCAATTGAGTACGCTGTTAAGCATATGAAGACGACAGCAAAATTATGAATATTCCTTGTATTCTAAGAATATCTCCCCGCGTCTATAAATTAAATAAATCTGCGTGAATAACTTTGCAATTACAGGATCAATATCAACTAAAAAGTAGAGAACTCAATCTTTGAAGCGTGAAAATTATAGAGATGCACGTGCTACACCTTGTGACTCGGGCTTGCTGTCTTGCCTGGGCTCGGATCCCTCTAGCCTTAAATCATTGACTATCTTGTGCCATGATAATCTCGCCCTTGCGGCCATTTCTTCAGGCACACCCTCGTCGTTGCTGGTCATTCTTCGATTGAAGACTTCAAAACTGATCCATCCTTCAAATTGTAATCCACGGATTATAGCTGCGAGAATCGACTGGACAGGAAGGTACCCGCCAAATTGTTCCTCCCCATAAAAGAGCCTTGCATTTCTCGACCAACTCATCCTTGGTGGCTGTTCTGAACAGTGGAAAGGATGTCCTTTTACGAGCGGATGCTGCATATATTCCGCATCGGCGACTTGTAGCAGGAATACCTTCGCCACATCCACTTTGCTGACAAGACGAGATAATGTTTCCGCCATAGCGGTCTCAGGATCGGGTGTTCTTCGGCTCGGTGTTGTTGGGTCAGCGTATATGCGGCCAGCTATGTTGAATGTATCTAAACAAACACCAAAGTTTGGGCGGTTTACCGCCTTCACAACATCCCAGCTCTTTTCCCATGTGTCCACTCGTCTCCCCCAGCACAGGGCCTCGTAAGCAAATTTCACCGAATGCTCTTTCTTTGCCCCGAGGTCGGCGATCTCGATCATATCTTTTATGATTAAATCAGTATCGCCAAGCTCTTCTTCGGAGAGAAAGCTACTAGGTAAAAGAATTAAATCTGTTCCCAGCTCCTTTGCCAACTGTATCCATTGTTTTGCGTCCTCGATCTTTTGGTTATGTGCTGCCCGATCTAATAATGCTTCGTAGTGCATGAGGGGCTGGAGGCATATAATCTCAAGCTTGTTTTCTTTGCACAGCCGCCGGATTGACCGCGCGGCGTATAGTTGATCGCTCCCAGAGGCTACATCGTTGCCAGAAAGTGTCTTGGAATAGTCAATAAGATCCTCATAGAATATCTCAATGCCTTCGAAGCCGTATCGTGCTGCTAGTTGAAGCTTAAGGGGAAGCGAATGTCCGGCAAAAGAACGTCCAAGGGACATAGAACAAATGGATGGCCTGTACCTCATATTTCTTTGATATACAGAACTAATGGACAGAGGACGATGGAGAATGAGAGCGAGTGCGCTCCAGCAAAAGTGACAATTGAGGATAGGCTTGAATAATAATACGTAGCTTGAAGGTGGCTTGTTTAGATATGTAGGTGCTTCAACCCCCTATCGTAACCTGATAATGTTTCGTTTTCGAGTTACATCTTTCCATGCAATCACCCGTCCATTGCCGAGATGATGTTTTGGGACCGGACTACCAGCAGGAACCACTACCAAAGCCGAAAGAAGGATAAGCAAACACGCTGAATATTCAAAGTGTAGGGATGGATAATATGCTACAATCGTGGATAGAGCGACTGCCCACTCCTACTCCTCGGAAAGTCTCAGGAGTGAGCGGATTGGTCGTCAAATGATGTCACATAGTACAGCTATTGACTGTTCCAAGTTAGAGCGGATATTTGTGGGGCCACTGGATAAGCCTTTATCCACCAGGACATTTTCGAGCCCTGGTCGCTCTTAATGCAGAGCCGGACACCTTGCCTGCGGAAAATGCCAGACCTAGGTAAAAAGCTGCGGCGGATATTTGCTTATAGTTGTGTGCTGCTGTATCTATGTTGAACTGCCAATCTCCGGTGTGCTGCGATAAATCGTGCGGCGTCTTAGTGGATCTGGATCGGAAATCGAGCTCAAAACCCTTTCCGTATAACCAGTCGAGCCAGTGTCCACAAAGATAAATGGGTCATGTATAGTCCGGATCTTTCGCCAAATAAAACCACGAAAGCTCTTGGGGAGTCAGGAAGCGAATTCAGTATTCAAGATTATCGCACAAACATATCGCGTATCCTGAGTGTCGTTTGATCAAGACATGTCCACCTCACCTGCGATGATGGAAGGTACCTTAGCCCCTGGGGAAAGCCCAATTGCTTTAGAGGTGGCCCAATTAGACCGCCACGGCTACTTGTTTGGCCGAAAGATCACTGCCTCTTTGTCGCCATTGCTTCATAAAACAATATACGAGCAAATAGGGTTGAATTGGGCTCAAGTACGGTTCGATTCAGCAGACATGAAGACATTCCTCAAGCTGATCCAACATCCACAATTCTATGGTGTGTAGAACAACCCATTTGCATTTTACTACATTGTCCTTGGCTCATGAATGTTCAGGCGCTTCTGTGACCATGCCTAATAAGGTTGCTATTCTACCTCACCTAGATGAGATTACCCCAGAGTGCCGAGATGTCGGCGCTTGCAACACGATATATATCCGAGAGCGCGATGGCAAACGCATCTATTGCGGAACTAATACTGATGTTATCGGTATTCGAGAGTCATTTTACCAAAACGTGTCGAATCCTGACGCTACTTTCCACCACAAGCCTGCTCTTGTCATTGGTGGCGGCGGCGCTGCTAGGAGCGCCGTATATGCGCTGCGCAAGTGGATGAAAGTGAGGGCCATCTACTTGGTCAATCGAGATATCTCGGAGGTCGAGGCCCTTCTGGCTGACTGTACCTCGAGAGGCTACGGTGACGGGCTGATACACGTATCGTCTCCCGCCCAGGCTGAAGAGCTGCAGTCACCTGGAGCGATTGTATCGTGTGTGCCAGACTATGAACCGAGCAGTCAAGAGGAGAAGCAAGCAAGATCGACAATAGAAGCGTTTCTAAGAAAGGAGGTAAAAGGGGCAATGTTAGAAATGTGTTACAATCCGACACCTTTCACACTGCTAGGAGAACTTGCGGAAAAGGAGGGATGGCAGGTCATCTTAGGAACGGAAGCGCTAATTTGGCAAGGATTGGAACAAGACAAGTATTGGACGGAACGAGACGTTGCAGATTTGCCGGTTGATAATGTGAAACAGGTAATCGCCAAAAACTTATCAGAGAGAGCGACCTCTTCCAGACTCTGAGTGGTAATAAATTATGTACAAATACTAGAAGCGCTCGTGTACCACTTACCTATGCCACCATACTAAGTAAGATTTCATCGGCTGCATCTCTGCGGAAATGACATTGCTTGAAATGAAAAATTTTCTTTGATAATTAGTGTAAGATGATACTACGCTCATTCTCTCCAAAGTTAAATGACTGTTCGTCATGCTGTAGCACGCTCATGGTTGAGTTCTCAGCTTCTAGAAAGGTTCCAACTTTTATCAAGGTCAAATGCATGGTTCGATAGAAACTTGAGGAGGAAAGTTGAGTGAGAGATTGACTGATACCTATCTGCACATCCCATGTCACTCCCTGCTTCTACTAATCTCAGTCACTACTACCTAAGCCTTTGATTCAACTTGCGCCACGTGTTCTTTTTCATCGTCCATATTCAATCCGCCTCTGTTCTCTCTGAATTCCTCCTCCTGTGCTCTAAGCTCCTCCATGATGACTTTGTTGGCCCGCCAGACGGGTTTGACTTTGAAGAGGCGGTCCATTGTTTCCAGCGGAACGGACTTCGTCTCGGGAATGCAGAAGAACACAAATACGACAGATATGATCATAAGGCTTGCAAAGAAGAAATAGACGCCATAGCCCCAGGCGTTGAACATCTGCTCCGTGAAACGAGCGATGATAAAGTTCCAAAACCAGTTGTTTGCAGCGGCTGAAGCTTGACCCAATGACCGAGTATTTTGATCAAACATCTCGGAGTTGAGAACCCAAGGGGTGCCGTTCCAAGATGGAGTGTAAAATGCCGTCCAGAGGTAGAAGAAGAATATGGCAGCAATGCCACCGGAGGATAACTTGGCGTTTGATTGATTGAATTCAGGATCAGATATCTTGATATAGGCACCAATAAACCACATACACAACGAGCCGCCCGTCGCCCCAATCATGAGCAGCATTCGACGCCCGAGGTGATCAATAAGCACGAGGATCCAGACGAAAGTGAGAGCGGTCTTCACGACACCGAAGATGCCTGTAGTTAAGAACGACGTGTTCGTTCCTTGAATACCGATGGAACGGAAGACAGTCGGTGAGTAGTAATTGATCGCGTTTATGCCAGAGCCTTGAAGACACTCGTCAGTATACGAGTAGATGCCTTGTAGGATCTTTGTGGGAAGACATACCGTTCTGAAAGACGAAGAGTAAAGCACCAATCAAGAATCGCCACTGAATTTTACGCTCTTTCAGAGAGAGGAACGGTTTCCAGAAACCAGCTCCAATCTCTCGACGATACCTTTCGAGATCTTCTTCGATGTAGTTCACCTCTTCGATGATGTAGACGTCCGACGGATCAAGATGACGCATCCAGCAGAGGACTTTGAGAGCCTGCTCGCGTCGACCCTTGGAATATAGCCATCGCGGAGACTCGGGTATGGCCAATGAGCCGATGAATAGAAGACCAGCTGGGATGAGTTGGACGCCGAAAGGGATTAGCCACTGCGAGGAGCTTGGTGCCATTGTTGTGTTCACGCCGTAGTTGATCCAAAAGCCAACCAGGCCTCCAACTTGCCACCCAAGCTCGTAAATTCCCACAAGCCGTCCGCGAACTGCAGGAGGAGACAACTCGGAGATATAGATTGGCGTCATATTCGAACATCCGCCAACACCGATCCCCGCAAGCACTCGGCCGCCGATGATAAGACCAATGCCCCTTTCCCCATTCGCTCCGAGCATCATTCCAGCTCCCAAAATGAATATGACAGTGAACAACTGGAGTGACATGCGTCTTCCCAGGAAATAGCTGGAGACATACGCTCCAAGGGATCCGAAAAAGGCACCCGCCTGGTAGACAGATACAATGTTCTGTTTCAGCAGTGCGAGTGACCCCTTCGAGTAGGAAGCAAAGTTGAACTCGTCAACGAAGGACGGCAAGGCAAGAGTTGTGCCAATGAATGCCGAATCATAGCCTATCATACAGGACGCGAAGGATGCGATGGTGGCACAGAAGTAGACGCGCCAGTTGTAGACCGCCTTAGGGGTGGGGCGGTCCTCTTTGAGAGCGAGGATCGTCATCGTGAGAGGACGTTATGGCAATCGCAACTCAGATTATTAGAAGAATTGATATGACAAGGAGGCTCGCAGCTTTGAAAGTGCGGTTCAGCAAGGAGATGGCTGTGCTCCGGGACGGAACGAGTTCTGATGCCACACGAAACAGAGTTGATGATCAGAGTAAAGGATGGATCTACCGTAGAGAGCAGGGTCTTATAAATGGACAGTTGAACTGTACGTACGACCCAGGAATCCAGTGCAACATCCACCAAGGGTCCAATGGTTTTGCACGCAAAAGCATTTGCCGGGCTGTATGTCCCTGATTTAGTGGGTGTTGGGTCCTAACCCCGGATTTGCGGGGGCTGGCCACCGAGTTTTCGGAGGCTTGGCTTGGGGTAAAGGTTCGTCCTAAGGTGCAACTCCACCACAAGCCAGTTCCTGAAATCTCTTCCGCCCTGGAGGATAAGGACTTACCCATTGAAGAGAACATGCTTCCCACTCCTCCCACGTAAGCAAGTTGGAATAAACAAAACGAGGCATGGCACACAACACGCAACAGGGCCAAGAGGCAAAGGGCAGGTGTAGGCACAACTCTACAGTACCGGCGAAACGTTTATGGTTGTTGAACAAGGTAACAATGTATTTTCAATTGATATGCAAATCATCATAGCCCGAATTCGCCGTGAAGCATGTCTGCTAAGTCGCTGCCTGGCGCAAACCCCAAGTTGGCCATGAATTGCGAGTTCATATCCATTCCATCTATGCAATCAATTGACCCCAACTCCTCCAATATGGCATCGTAATCTAGTGACTGTCCCATGAAACTTGCCTGACCTATTAAACTCTTTTGATGAGTATTTTCGACCGTATTACTCGTCGCCATTGATGATGTCTTGAGCGGTGTCGGGCACGATAGAGGAGATGTTGCTGAAGGGCTGAGAGATGTTTGCTGGTAAAGAGACAATGGGACGAATCCTTCCGGTGCATGCATACCAAGTTGTGGACCATTTTGCGGTATATAAGTAGAATGAACTTGACCATCCATCTGGGGAGATACCGTTGGTAATGGGGGCATACTGTTTTGGCTGATGACAGCGGCGGCACCCACAGGCACCATATGACGGCCAGCGCTCATGTCAGTCGTGTTTGGAGCATATTTATTCCAGACACTCTTGATGGACCGATCAATAAGATCCCATCGTGGCCTGTCATGACCATGCATGTCGACTAAATGCCCATTTTGTTGCAAACACATCATACATGTCAGGAAGATAGGAGGAATTCCACAAGCCCCGAAGTTTGCTATACAGCCTTCAGCCACATCTAAAAAGTTTGGCACCAACGATGCTGCACGTCTTCCGGACACGAGAATCATCGATGCTGTTAGAAACGCTCCTTGTACCACGAAAGAAGAAGGCACCATCGGTATGGGTCCGCCGAATATCAACGAATTACAGTATGCGAATTCGGGGCTCAACGATCGTAGTAGATGCTCGGAGGTGACACTCGTACTAGTTGTTTCCAGCCCCGAAATCGCCGCTTTGTAGTTTGCAAGCAATGCGGAAAATTTATACAACTGCAAGAAGGTTGTAATTGGTTGTGTAGAGGTTTCGGTCGAATCCTGATACAAGCCAAAGCCCGAGATTGAAGTCCAGATTTCCGGCATTGGTTCTGATATTGATTGAGGCGCCATGTTGTGCAGTGACTGCAAGTTTACTCGCCAATGAGGATATTGTCCCAAACTTATCGAAATGAAAGTGTCTAAGATGAAACATCCTGCAATAAGCCGAGCTTCTGGTGTATTAAATGTATTTGTAAGAAGAGGTTGTCCTGGATACAGCTGCATTGCAAGTCTCGTCGCCGAGCCTACAAGAAGCCACGCCGTATTGGCTTTGTCCTGTCCAAGAGCGGCGAGAGACATCAAGAGCATGGCACGAATGTGTGGTGGTCCGAGCTGTCTACCATCCATTGTGATTAGTTTCGTGGCGATAGTCGATATGTAGGCCGGGGAAGATGACATATCCCGGGTCTCTGTCGACGAATTCGACGATGCCGCGTCTTGGAAAGACGCAAGGGCCAATGCAGCCCAGAGCTGCGCATGAGACGCGTCTGGCTGATCCTCAAGATTTATCATCAAACCCTCAGGAGGATAAGCGAGTGCGGTCCGCATGATCTCTTCCCTTTCTAGGATCGGGAACCAACAGTGCGTATATGTGAAGTATATGTCGAGGAGTCGACAATAATTAGGTGGTATCTTGGCCACTCTGTGTCCAAAGCCCTTCGGGTCATGGAGTGCATTCTCTGAGAAGGTCTCACGGTATCCCACGTTTGGAAGCGGTTGCATCACGCTTTGGCTTATGGTCGAACCGTCCTGCGTCATCTCATCGTCCGTGTCCGAGTCGGGGTCTGAACTTTCTGTCTTTGGCGTGGTACCGTCTCGATTGCAAAGTAACCTCTCAATCTCACGGTGTACTTTGCTCTTTCTCCATCGCTTGTGTAGCCTGTCGGCTCCTTTACCCTCTTTGCCGAGAACGATCTTCTGAGCAGCAGTGCCATCTTGTATTAAGAGTCGATGTAATGATTCTTCGCTCCCCGGGATTTGATCGAATAGCCATGCTAAAGCCAACTCAACGGTTCGAATATATCCTGTAGGAATCCCACGCTTCTTGGATGGACTTGTATATGTGCAGGTCCTGCTCTGCTCAATGCATGGGCCGCAGTTGGGCTGTGTGCCATCGCACTTCTCCCGTGCCGTCCGGCAGGGATTGCATGCTTGTGAGACCCGATGCCGTTTTGTGGGAGCGGATGCCGTAGAATGCTCGTCCACAGTCGTCCTTTTTCGAGGCATAGCTGGCACTACAGGTTTTGTTTCTCAAACCCGACGTTCTCGGCCAGGCACATGCTCGTGAAGAACGCGCCTTGAGGGCTGTAGAGTATCAGTCTTGTCTTGACTTGTCTTGTCTCAAGGTGTTCTGTGAGTGATTCTGGGATCGGACCGCATGCCTTCCTAGAGAGAGGACATCTCGATCATGCGGGGAGGCCTGGGGTAACTTGGCAGGGGGTGCGTAGCAGCGCGGGCACGGCCAAACAATGCTCGGAGAAAGCAGCCGGAGGGTGTTCGCCCAAGCAAAAGCGACCCAAAATAAAAAGGCCCAATAATAGAAAAGGGAGAGCACCGCCTGTTTGGAGTGCAATTATCTTGCTCGAGATTGGATTCTCTCGACATCAAACTCGAACTCCATGGCGGCGCAGCGCAGGAGGAGCTATCCTGGCCTACCACCACTCAGAGAGCGCTGAAGAGCCGATCGGCTGGACATTGCGGGGTAGAGGCGCAGAAACACCAAAACAGTGGGGATTTCGCCCGGATAAAGAGTTATCCGGGGAGGGGACTCCGCGAAGGAATGAATCATGGGGGAGGCGGGTGATGGTCAGTATGGGGCAGCTTGAAGCCCACCCGCCTGCCTGCCATCCAGCTCAATCCTTGGTGCAGGGACAGACCTGACCCTAACCACTCTCCAAGTCCCTCATATCGTAAAACGCATGTTCGCTTTCGCCGAGCGAAGCGAAGTTGGCTGCCCTCTGTGTGCGGCGATAGACGCAAAATTGTCAGCAGTCGAGCAGTTCTCGATATCTTCCCAGTCCTGATAGGTGGCCCGCCCACCTCTAATGCTTCTCGCACCCTCGGTGCGGCACTCCCGCACTTGTTAACGGGATAGACCTCGATTAGGTAGATCGTAGCACCGCTTCTCGACGACTTGGTTCCCTTCTCTACCTTCTTCTCATTACGGGCTTGTAATGATCCCATCATTCTTGCTATGGCCGGCGTGAAGAGACCTTATGCAGTCATGGCTGGAGCCTTCGACGAGATCCCATCACAGACAATCACTCCTCCAGAGCATAACCAGGACGATGTACCTGCACTGTTCTCTCGACTATCGTCACCCCAACTGCCATCGAGGCTGAGCACCAATCACTTCGAACAGAATGCCTCTCTTGTTCTCGTTGGTATCCGAGGCGCTGGCAAATCCACCCTTGCTATCATTGCGTCCGCTGCCATGAAGCGCAAAGTCATTGACGCAGAGACTGCTTTCCAGCGAAGCACCGGCCTATCGAGTGTATCGTACAAGAATACGAATGGGTCAGCAGAATGTCATCGACAGCAGGCAAAGGTGCTAGACGCTATACTGTGCCGGAATCCAATAAATGCCATCATTGTTTGTTCATGGATGGAGAAGAAAACCCAGGCTCTGCTAAGAAACTTCGCCATAACTAATCCTGTGATCCACATACTTCGAGATGGACCCTCTATCCAAGAGCATTTAAGGATTCCGGATATCGACAAGGTCAATAGCCTCCTAAGCGTAAGTGCGGCCATCTTCCGGGCATGCACAAATTTGGAGTTCTTCAATGTGTCGGAATCGCCCACCGAGCCGCTTAGTCCCGCGTCGTCTACCGCAAATAGAAGGACATCGACACCGTATTTGACTCTGAAAAGGGCAGAAAGGCATTTCCTCAAATTTCTCTCGTTGATCTATCCAGGAGGTGCAATCCCTTTTGTTGAATCGGCCTTCCCGCTCGCATCCGTGCCAACCGAAGAGAGGATGTTCACCTACGCCCTCTCCGTGTCCTTGAGAACGATTCTTAATGAAGAGGTGGACATAGAGGACATGGAAACTGGGGCTGACGCAATTGAAGTTGTCATTGATACTGAGAATATCGTCACACCAAGCTTGGACCCAACCTGGCTCAACGACATCACAAAGGTTGTTGGAATTCTTCGAAGAAATATTGTCATACCCATTATTCTTCACGTCCAAATGCCCGGCGGTGTAACTATCGGCGACAATTTAAGACAGAACTATCTGGAAGTCATCTCGCACGTATTGAGGCTCGCGCCTGAGGTGGTTACCATAGACCTGAGGTTAGATGATACCGAGATATCGACAATTATGTTGTCTAGGGGTAGGTCAAAGATTATGGGCCATTCCAGCATTATGACAGATCCTCCGCCATGGCAGTCTTCCTTCTGGCTATCCTCGTACCATCGGGCGTGCCGACTTGGGTGCGACATTGTTCGGCTTATCCGCGCTGCACTAACTCCTGAGGACAACTTTTCCGTGATGAGGCTCAAGTCATACGTCAACGAACTCGAGGATAGAGCGAAACCTCTTATTGCATACAATTCCGGTCTCCTAGGTAGACATTCTGCCTGCTTTAACAGCATCCTGACGGGAGTTAATCCCGAATCACACTCAATCACGCAATGGGAATATGCTTCTCAACCTTGTCTGACAGCTAGCGAGGCAAGTCGGTCGTTATACGCCTCGTTCCTCTTTAATCCAATGAAGCTTTATGTATTTGGCGCCAATGTTGGATACAGTCTCTCCCCTGCCATGCACAATACTGCACTTGCGGCGTGCGGTATACCCCATCATTACCAACCTTACTCAACAGACTCGCTTTCTCGAATTAAAGATCTGATCCAAGATCCGTTCTTCGCCGGGGCATCCGTCGGTCTGCCCTTCAAGGTGGAGATTATAACCTTGACACATTCTTTAAGCCGCCATGCCAAGGCCATTGGCGCTGTCAATACTCTTATTCCTGTGCGACAGCTAAATAGTAACGGCTCGATCCCCGAGGACGGCAGTTTATTCAGGGGTGTGAATAGATGTGGTCCTGTCCTAGCCTTATATGGCGAGAACACCGACTGGATAGGTATTCGTGCCTGTATTCGAAGAGGTCTTAGCCCCGCCAATGCTGTCCGGTCTAGTACAACTGGCCTTGTCATTGGTGCCGGCGGTATGGCACGAGCGGCGGTCTATGCCATGCTTCAGCTGGGCGTGAAGAACATACTTATTTACAACAGGACTCAATCAAACGCCCACAAAATGGTTGAACATTTCAAGGCTCTGCTTTCTCAGAACAGTCTACCACTTTTGAGCTCTGACATGGACTCTCAAACTCGTTTTCATGTTATACAATCTCTTGCAGACTCTTTACCCTCGTTTTACCGATTACCCACGATTATTATTTCATGTATCCCAACCCATAGAATTGGAGATGCACCTGAGCCGAATTTCACTGTTCCAGAACACTGGTTAGAGAGCCGCACCGGTGGTGTGGTCATTGAACTGGCATATAAGACCTTGAATACACCTCTATTGGAACAAATCAGGAAGGAGTCTTATCGGGGCTGGGTGACGATGGATGGCTTGGACTTGCTCCCGGAGCAGGGATTTGCTCAATTTGAATTATTCACTGGCAGGAGAGCTCCCCGCCGTTTGATGAGAAGGGAAGTGTTCAAAGCTTATCCTGGCGAGCAGGGTAATGGGACTTCTGAAGAGTTACAGATTAGATTAAAAAATATTATAGAGCAAGAACCATAGGATAGTCAATCAACGAATGACACAAGCTACTCAATTCGCAGAACATCCCATTTCTCGAATGATGCGAATGATCTGTCTTAGGTGACGATCTGATAAGGTTCCGATAGACAAGAATTCTTGGCAATATTAGACAAAGAGGTATCTCACCACCATGAAAATGCTAATCTAAACCTTATCTGTTAGCAGAGGACCGACACCACAGCAAATAGCAGCTGACTCATCATTCCTCTCCCCCTTGCCAGAAATTCTCCAATTTTAAGTTTGGAGTAAGCACTCTGCTTTGATCATCAACAAGCTTTAGCCAGGTAAAATTTTACATAACCCCAACTTGCGTAACACCGAGCTCGAACTAAGTTATCGCGAGATCTTCAGCAGCTCATCCGCGATCTTGCACGGCCGAACAACGAAGATGTGTCGAAGGGCCGTGGAGTATCAGACGATAGCGACATCCCAGTCGGGATTAGCGAGATGACGATATGGATCCATCTGTGGATACCTTGGACTGAGACCCATCGTTCGAGTTCCGACTACGGCGGAATGACAGGTAGATAAGGGAAATTCCCTCACCCAGACCTGCGGTTGTATTTGTCGCCAACAATAACTCTGTAGACTTGAGAATTCACATCGAAATCAATCATGTCTTCCGCATTTGTCCAACGCCCAGCCCCAGACTTCAAGGCAACCACAGTCTTCCCTGGAGGCGAATTCAAGGACATCTCTCTGTCAGATTACCTAGGACAATGGTGCGTCATTCCACTTCATTAACATTGTTGATTGGCGCAGTGATATCTAGTCAAGCAGAGAAACACATAGCTTACAATTTCTTGATAACAGGGTCGTTCTCCTGTTCTACCCCATGGACTTCACCTTTGTCTGCCCCACCGAGATCATCCAGTTTAACGACGCGCTGCCACGCTTCCGTGCCATCAACACCACTGTGCTGGGTGTTTCCACCGATTCACACTTTTCACACTTGGCTTGGACCGCACAGCCACGAAAGCAAGGCGGCCTCGGCTCTGACTTGCAGTTGCCGCTCGTGGCGGACAGGTCTCAAAAAATCTCACGTAGCTACGGCGTACTTATTGAAGAGGAGGGTGTTGCTCTGCGTGGTCTTTTCATCATTGATCCGAAGGGCGTACTGAGGCAGATCACGATCAATGATCTCCCAGTTGGTCGTAACGTGGAGGAAACGATCCGTCTTGTTGAAGCGTTCCAGTTCACGGATCAATACGGCGAAGTCTGCCCCGCAGGCTGGCAGAATGGGAGCAAGGGCATGAAGGCTGACCCTAAGGGTAGCTTGGAATATTTCTCTGCCCAGGATGAGCAAATGAATGGCATTGAGGATTTCAAGAAGCGAGTGAGAGTTGACTAGCTTAACTTACATGATCCGAAGCATTTGATAGAACTTCTTTGTTATAGCATAGACTAGAATTAGACGAAACGAATTATTCAGAATCGACTTCAGATTAGTTCGTCAGAGTAGAACTGATCGGACTCTGCTTATACTATTGTCATCCAAGGAGCTATTCCCAAATTATTTCCATTTAATGGCTATCGAGAGCAACCCCTTGACATTAAGTCGCGGCGAAGCAGCTGGCTAAAACCTGGGTCCTAAAATGGACATTCGTTAATTAAAAGAGGTTGCCGAAATGCTCGAGGAATGTGGCTGAGGTTCTTGCGTTGACGCCGCTCGGTCAGCGACGGAGCACCGATGGATGGTAACTATGCATGTAGACCCACATAAGATACACACATTGTTCTCTAATAGCAGATTACGGGTAGCTCTTTTATCTATCTCTATCCAGGAAACGAAGTATGATGACGTTAGCAAGTGATAAGTGCTTCTGGCAACCCAAGCATATCCTGAGATGAATGGTGAAGTTGTGATGTGAAGACGCGCAGGATTAGAACAGAGATAGTGGCAAGATTGATAAAGATCAAATGCTTTATAGAGCAGACATATCAACTTACTAGCAATCTTTAGAGCACATCTTTCGAAGCGACACTCTCAGATGTGGCGTATGTGGCCAAATTGGCAAAATTCGCGCTGGATCTAGATCACGACCATTGATTGATATGATAACACGCTAATCAGCGCGTTAGAGAGAGCGGACCTAAATTAAATGCAGCGATGTAGATCCAAGATTTTCCTGTGTCCGCTGTGTCCACTGGCTTATTCAATCGGTACCGATATTAGTGCCTGGACATAAGGATTTATGATGGAATGGCACCAATCTCTCAGCGCTTCATCGAATGTCTCTCTTGCCCATCGAGGTCCGTCTCCAAAACATATAAACGATTCAGATAGCCTATCTAAGAAGTTGTCGATTATCGCATTGTTATGGTGGTCGACATAGGTCGCTCTAGTCTTGTCCCGACATTCCAGCACCGGACTCGCCAAAATTGCAAATACGTCATCCCCGACAATTGCTCTGATTCTTGTTTCAGCTGACATCGGCGATAGCCATTTGGAGCTAGAACCGTCAGACATCACGTCGCCTTGTACTATTTCGGCGTTCTGCACCTGGTTTGCTACCTGGTTAGCAGCAGGCTCATCGGACCAGAGTTGAGGATCCCGATAGTCTAGCCGGGCGTCTATCATCGCAACCCACTGGGTAGGTTCAATGTGTTGGAAGACCTTCGATTGCTCTAAGAGATCACCAAATCGAGGACGACCGGCAACTGAGTTGTCTAAGAGCTTGCGGGAGTCATGCTTGGTAGCCTCGAACTTCTTTACCAAGTGCCAGAATATACGACCCGCCACGGTGAAAGCGCCATTTCCGAGGAATGGAAGGACAGTAGCAACTCCATTATTGCAACGATGGCGCTGAAAAGGGTCTCGAGCAATATCGACATTACTGTCCAATTCGGGAATTGTGAATAAGCTGGCCTCCCAACCCTGTTTGGTCACATGTCCCCTTGAGCTAATTTTGGGCACGGGTCGATTGTGTGATCTGCTCAAATGATCACCTTGTTGCTTCGCGGATGGAGAAGTAATACCCGCCCCGTTGGTCTCAACCATTGGAATTGTCATGTTTTGAGTGTCAGTGTCTGCCCCGGCCAGTAAAAGTGCTTCTTGTATCCTTTGTTGTAAAATTAAGCGATCATCTGGCCGAACCTCGCTCGCAATGACCTTTATAGCTTGTTTGAGTGCTGCATTTTCATTTCGTATTGCCTGCTTCGCTAATGCTTGGCGTTGGCGAAATGTGCTTTGTGCAACCCGACCGCGCTCCCGGCGTCGCTACGAAAAAGCATGGTTTGAGCATCGTAGTCATAATTATAAGGAGCAGGAGCCAGGTCAACCGACTTACCTCAAGTTCAGCCTTGTACTCGCTCATTAATCGGGAGATTGTTTCTTTCCAGCTTAAGCAAATTTTTGTTCTCCTCGTAATGTACTACACGGTTTGAGCCGGCAGGGAATGTTATGTAATGTTACGTGATGTTATGTGATGGTCTGTAATCCTTTGAGTTACATAAGCGGTCATCATTTAGACACCCAATATAATCTGGGCCTACGACAGCTCAGAGCTCGTCCTAATTGGTCCACTATTAACGGCCATACACTCTGATTGAGAAAAATGAGTCTAGTCTAGATGGTTGAAACATGGCTTATTGGTATAAAAACAGAACTAAATTCATTTTCACGTAGCTGCATCATCTAGTTTCACAGGTATTCTAGAGAGGCTACGGTTCTTTGACGGAATGAGTCCTAGCCCATCGATTGTAAAGCAGCCGTCTAGCTTCTGGTTCTACCATGCAACTTATATTACGTAGGATGCATTGTGATAGGTAGACCTTTACAAGTAGCTGTATCCATAATGATGGATTACAAACCTAGATCGCAATGATGACGCAGACTAATCTGTTCAAGTAGTTGACTGGCACAAAGACTCAAATGATAAATGAGGGTAGCCCAACTCAATCTTTCGGCAAAGTGAATAAATCAACTGATCTTGCTTCAAAAGTGAAGACGTCAGCCAGTTAAGACAGACTAATCAAACATTTTGTAACGGGTGAATACATATTTTGATAAGATGGTCAAAGTGGCAATTGCAGGAGCCAATTCCGGTACGTTTTGAACTAATTGTATTGCTGCACAGTGCTGATCTTCTTTCTCGATAGGTCTGGCACTCGAGGTAATTGAAAAGCTTGTTGAGGACCGCCGACATGAGGTTGTAGCATTGTGCAGAAAGGTGAGCCATTTGCACATTGCTTTATGATTGATGCAAGAAGTAATTGACAATCTAATCAGGATTCTGCGAACTTTCCCCATCATCCAAATATTCATTGGACCCTCACAGATTATCAAAATAAGGACCATTTAGTCACGTTGTTCAAGGATGTAGAAGTTGTCCTCAACTTCATTGTTGTCGTTAACGATCCAGGCAACAAGGTATCCAAGCTTCTAGTGGATGCTGCTATAGAGGCGGGAGTCAAGCGTTTTGCACCAAGTGAATGGGCCATGTGAGTGAGACCATCATTATGAATTCAGATTCTTGCATAAAACTCGGCGAAATGATAGTTAAATTCATGTTCCTACAACTATCAGGATGCTAATACTATCATAAAGGAGCCAAAGACTTTATGATATAATTGATACGGTTCCTTGGTACCAAGGAAAACTTGATATGCAGTCTTATTTGCGTCAGATAAACAAAGATAAGAAAGTAGGTTGTCCCAGAGCTTGAATCATATAAGACGAGTTCTTTCTCCACTATATGTCGCGGTGTTTATTGAATTTTCAATCATCTTATGCAGGTCATCGAATATTGTTTCTTTCAGCCTGGCATGTTCATGGAGTATGCCGCATTTCCGCGTCAACTAACAAAGCATGTGCCACCGATGCCAACTGTCTGGCAGCTGAATAACCTACGCATAGTGGCAGTGAATGGTCATGAGGATGATCAAGTGACTTTAACAACTATCTCAGACATTGCGATCGTAGTCAGGCGTGCGATAGAGTATGAGAAGGTCTGGCCCGAGGTTGGTGGTATTAGCGGCGAACGTATCACCCCTCGGCAGCTCAAGCTGCTTGTCGAGAAAATCCGAGGTTAGTTATACTAAAGCGAACGGCCTTCCAGCCGTCTGGATTAGTAACACTACTAATACTGGCCTTCAACAAAGGCGAGCCAGTACAGATAGACTTTGTGCAAGAGTCGGACCTGAAGGCCGGCCTTCTGATGGTCGAGATGCCTCTAATACAACATCCTTCCATCCCTGAAGCCGAACGAGAAGCATGGAACAAGCCCGGCTGGATTGGTATTCTGACTGCTGTGGCTAAAGGCGCTTGGACTGTTACAGACGAATGGAATCAACTCCTTCCCGATCATGAGTTTACCAGCATTGAGGATTTCATTAAGCAAACTTGGAGGTAGAATCGGTCACTTGTGGTTCCAGTAGTGCATAAAAATATAGTATTTAGCACTTAAGGTTAGGAAATCAGAAAAATGATTACGCATGCCATGGATTTTGCTTGCACTTTGCTTTTAACTCTTTAGTCTCAATAATGGGCACCATACAAAAGCATCGGCGTCGAGAATCCACATACTTCCGCCACCTATATTGACAGAGAATATAATTATGATTATGATCATAGTAGCCGTAGGCTAAACGACTTTTGTGATTAGGCCTCTTGACGAAGAAACGATGGGGTATGATCCAGATTTGCGAGTATTTGCGCAAATCGGTGGATATAAGACGCTACTCTTCCTGCCCCAGGATTCATCGAATCTTGTTCACCATCATGATCGAGCAAAGTCGCCGCAACCTTTCTAATTTGTATCACCTAAGATTGTATCGTGGACGTTCGTGGGGGACGTGGACGCAAGGGGGGCTTTGCCAGTTTCATGGCCTCGCTTGTATCAGCACACAGGCTGCTATGGCAACTTTGGTCTCGATTCCCTGGATTCTCGAGAAGTAGAGCATGTTTAGGGCGTCTTTGTCGGCTATCGGCACTTTGATCGATTGTGGAACACAGAGAAACAAGCTCTTTTCCCTTTTGGCTATGGACAGCTACACTGACTTTAGTGTTTATGATATCGCCGTATCTGGTACCTTGGGGGTCAAAGTAGATGACAAGATTGTTGTGACAGCTCGCATCGATAACGTCGGTCGTCGCACTGGTTCACAGATATTACAAGTTTACCTGTCGCCGCCTCAAGTTGCGGGCCTAGAGAGGCTGGTGAAGATCCTGGTGGGATTTCTAAAACCAAACTCAACCCTGGTGAGAACCAAATCGCTCAAATCCAGTTTAATAGAGATGCAGCAGCGTCCTGGGAGGAAAAAGAGTGTCAGTGGAAGGTTGTAGCCGGCCTCTACCAAATCTTTATATCTACTAGCTCACGGCCGGAAGATACCATAGCAACGGAGTATTTGAAAGTCGAACAAGCCTTTGCTTTTCTCCATAGATAATAATCAGACTTAGAATCTTGGTCCTTTATACATCGTCAATTGAGCAATCTTTCATGTTTTGTCCGAACGACTGTGGTCATCTTCAAAGCTAGGTAATATATTAGAATGGATATCCGGTGTAGGAGTGCATGTTTCATATACATACACTTCATATTCGTAATTCTGAACCAATTGCCTATGACTTTGACTATACCAGTCATCCTTTCTTTGATTCAAAACCTCCGACATCAGTCCGAAGTCGTTGTTATGTGAATGCTCAATTGCACCCTACTATAATTCCCCGATATCGAGCCCGCCCAGCGTTTGCCTGGCCCGAGTCAGTCAATCCAGATAAAGCCGGCGAAGAGTGTTATTTCGATTAGTCAATCCACCTATCATTCGAGGTGGGGCCGACGGTCGCTGACGCTTGCCTCAAAGATGTTGAACTTGGGCGTACTTATGTGGGGATGTGCGTCAAGGTGCTGACGGTCTACCAACAAATTCAGCAATTAGCTCCAACCTCCTAGTATATGGTCAGCCCGACATGCAATTCTGCGCGGCATCTTTCTCCCATCTGTCCGACCAACTATTCAACAATCGCGATGGTTCAACGTATTTCCCGCACAGCCGGTCTTCAGGCCTTCATTGACGCCGTGGAGAAAGATGGCTGTGTCATCATCAAAGATTTCACAGACCCTGAGTCTCTTGCTGACGCACAAAAAGAGGTTCAGCCATATCTCGATGCATCTGCCGCAAGTGGGAGCACTGTTGGGGCCCTGAATGGGGGCACGGCAACATGTACTCGCTTGATCGGCCGTAGCAAGACTGCTCGTGAGAAGTTTTTCTCCGACTCTTTATATCAGGTGAGAACCGTGGTTTTTTGTATTTTGTGACAACGCCTTGGACTCTGGAAGCAGAAGATAGCTTTGTCATTACATGAACTGATTTGCCTTTCGTGGAAACAAGGATCTTGCCGATTATTTCATAGGCATTGAATCAACAACATGGTATGGGGATGAGGCAAAATCTACCAAGTCTGACCCACTACTCTCAATTTCCATTACCATGGACTCACAACCTGGGTGTAAAGCTCAACAGCTGCACCGAGATGATAAAAACCACCACCAAAGACATCTCAAGTCAGATAAATATCATCGTGGCCGAGATATGCTGCTTGGCTTGTTTGTACCAGCTTGTGATACCTTCAAGGCCAATGGTGCAACGAGAATTGTCCCTGGCTCACATCTTTGGGGAGATGATAAACCCGATTTTGGTGCTAAAGGAGATATTGGAGTTATTGATGCTGAGCTGAAAAAAGGAGAGGCTTTTATTATGCTTGGTAGTCTCTACCATGGTGCCGGACACTACTCCCTGCCGACAGGAAGCCGGACTGTACATATCTTCTTCATGTGCAGTGGTGTGCATCGCCAGGAGGTAGGCCTATCTTTTCTGACTGAACACAATGACATAATATGCTAATAAGAGACATCAGGAAATCCCATTTCTAAGCTATACAATCGACGAGGTTAAGACTTACTCGCAGTTGGTTCGTGACCGACTGGGTTGGAAGCAATCAGAGCCGAACCTCGGGTGGGTCGATTTGAAGTCGCCTGAATTTTTACTAGAGTAGACGTGATGAACTATTAAATCTGTTCAACTTCACTTAGCCTTGAACGTCCAAATGCATATTAATGAACTGTCATTACAGGTACGAGTGTATTTCTGTCTCCAAGTATCAAGAAAATTTCTAGAATAGCGGTGAAACGAGAACCTCATACTTGAAGTATCGGTGCTACGAACAATCAACGCGTCTTGATCAAACGAGTGACTTTAGTCCACATTGTAGGCTTGATCTCCTCCTGCTCAGCGTCCGCTTCGAGCTCATCCAAACCAGTCACAAGATCCACTTCATCTAACGGAATGCACCAACGGTCCGACCGCCCTGCTGTGAGTTTATGTCCCAAGTAAAGGCACAAAAAGACAGGTATACCAATGTAAGAGCTCATAAAGTTGGATACAGACCAAGATCCTGGCAAGAAGACCTCAAAGCCATTGATCAGGCAGAGAATCGTGAAGACAACAATACAGACATATGAAGCCCATGGCTGAAGGCGCGTCCGAAATGGAAGTGCATCTCTATTCCTATGTTGTGCCGCATATGCTTTCTGAAATCGAATGGCTGTCTGCACAAGCGCTAAGGTTCAGTCCTTCGCCCGCATATTCTTTTCTTGTGGGTAACGACTTACAATGGCGCAGCATATCCAAGAGATGAAAGCAGCGGTATTTACAAGATTGATCAACCAATTGAACACAGCTCCCGATTTGGAATTGACGTTGAGGTAAGCCAAGAAGGAGAAGAGGGATGAGCCCATTACAGCCATGTATGGCACGCCCTTCTTGGTGCATCTTGAAAAGATCTTGGGCGCATCTCCATTTAGAGACATAGAGTATAGCGATCTGCTCGATTAGTACACGAACGCATTCGCGGCGGACCAGGCGGAGGTGAGGATTGCCGCGTTGATCACGCTGTCAAGACCACGGATGCCTGCTTTCTGAATGCCGAGAACGAACGGCGATGACCCAGCGCCTTGGCCGCCGCTTGTCAAGCCGGGATCATCCGAAGGACAAATAATGCCTATTGCAAGGACGGATCCAATGTAGAAAACGAAGATGCGGATAAAGAAGCTCTTGGCAGCTCTAGGTAAATTACGTCGAGGAGACTTCATTTCACCACAGCAGAAGACAAGCATTTCTGGTGCGAAGGAGAACTAAATCAGTGCGTCAGTGTTATTCCTTGCAAAAGCCTGAAATGAGAATTACGAACAGGGAGCAAAGCCGAAATCAAGGTGCTCCAAAAGCTAACCGCTAGCCCGGCAGGTCCTGTAAGTAAATAGTGGTTTATCGCTCCCGGCTCTTTCCAATAATGAAAACCTAATCTCGGATTCCCTGGACCTCCCCACCAGAAAAGAATGAAAGATAGGATGAGAAGGCCGATTATTGTGATCACCTTGAGTGAAGCAAACCAAAATTCTACTTCTCCATACACTGAGACCGGAAGTAGATTCAGTACAATGACAACGACTAGCATAACTGTGATCCACACAGCAGGATTGATTGGTGGATTCCAGAACTCGATCACGAGTGACGATGCAGTGAGCTCATATGGAACGAATATCCCCTGCAGCGAAATGTTGATTAGCATAGAGTAAGGCGTAGGGGCATGTTAACCAAAAAGTTCTTTGACCAAGTTGAACTTACAAAGGCGTACCAATAGAACCAGCCCATCGACCATCCAAGAGAAGTGGAAACATAGCGAGACGCAAAATAACTTGGAGTTGCTCCCTTAACCGGGCTGGAGCAGGTATTAGCTTGAGCATTCAGATTGCTTTGATCTGTCTGTTGCTTGAACTCACAGGTAAGAAGCGGTATGAGCAATCGCTGAGACAATAAGGAGAACCAGACCAGACATAAGCAGGTAAGTCAGGAGGAGAAAACCTGGGCCTCCTTTGGCTAGAGTGAGGCCACTGCTAACGAACAGTCCTATCATAAATCAGTAATTTGAGTCTCGGATTTGCCATCAAGAGAGGCATCGCAGAGCTGTGGTATCACGGCCATAGAAGAGACCCTTTATCGATTCGCATACCGGTTCCGATTGTCCCTCCCAGTGCAATCAGCTGTGCATGCCGAGACTTCAATCCACGTTTTGTACCAGGTGTTTCCACAACCCCATTCGTGTCGCTACCACGGGAAGGCGCACGGCTGCCGAGAGCATTCTTTTGGGGCAAAATGCCGCGTATTCCTTGTTCTGTAGTCATCGTTGGTAGTTGAATGATAATATGTCCGTGGGTCTAATCATTTAGACAAAAGCGTTTTCGATCGAATTCGCCAGATGCAAGCCCTTTTCAATCAAACTTAGAACAAAGTGAAGGGGCCCATAGCTTGACTCGTTTCTACGTCGTCGACGCCTAACGCGTAGAGATAACGA